ATATATTGCCGTTGTAATTCAATAATAAGACATTTTAATAAAAAAAAAAACTTAATTTGGAGGTATTCTATTATTTCGTACCAAATATTATCTAGATAATGCAATACTAACATATCTTTGAATGTATAAGGCAAAAGTATTAATCAGTATCCATTAGTACAAAATTTAATAAAAATCATATTTCATTATTTTCGTAAACCACAAATTATTATTAGGAAAATCAAACTTTAAATGGTTTTTTCTTTAAACTTCATTATTTAGACGTATCTCAGTATTACATTCGAGCTGCATTTAGCGATCAATGCAGACAAATTTTTATTCTGCATAGAAATTCAAAATCTACTCATAAAAGAACAGTTACTATACAAATCATTCTTTTATTTGAATACCTTAATGAATTCGATTTAATTTGTTATTCATGAATGGCGAAAATAATCATTAGCGTTGCTGTCGAATGATAACTAGTTGAACATATTCCTCACTATTTTATTCATGACCAGATAACGGATGATATGTTTTTCTGATATGAACGGTGTCTATTTATGACTCTGAATGACGTTTGCCTTATTATTTCCGGGCGATGTTTGCATAATAAAGGAAACATCCGATAACAAGAAAAATTTTCCTGAAATATAACGTCCTTCTTCTACTTTCTGCACCAGTGAAACGATTATTTTATCTCGTAGCAATATTGAATCGACGCGGATAAGAATCTCTTAAGAGTGTACTTTCAAAGGAAATTGCTATAAAGGCTTTCTAAAATAAAACTTTGTTGTTGCAAGGATTATATGTTTATGAAGAGATAGAGAGAGAGAGAGAGAGAGAGAGTGGGGGGGAGAGGAATAAAGAGAGAGAGAAAGAGAGCAAAGAGAGAAAAATAAAGAGAGAGAGAAATAATGAGAGAGAGAGAGAGAGAAAGAGAGGGAAGAGAGAGAGAAAGAGAGGGAAGAGAGAGAGAAATAGAGAAGAGAGAAAGAGAGGGAAGAGAGAGAGAAATAGAGAAGAGAGAAAGAGAAAGAGAGAAATAATGAGAGAGAGAGAGAGAGAGAGAGAGAAATAGGGGGAAGAGAGTGAGAGAAAGTGAGGGAAGAGAGAGAAATAGAGAAGAGAGAAAGAGAGGGAAGAGAGAGAGAAATAGAGAAGAGAGAAAGAGAGGGAAGAGAGAGAGAAATAGAGAAGAGAGAAAGAGAAAGAGAGAAATAATGAGAGAGAGAGAGAGAGAGAAATAGGGGGAAGAGAGAGAGAGAAAGTGAGGGAAGAGAGAGAAATAGAGAAGAGAGAAAGAGAAACAGAGAAAGATTTAGGGTTTCTTAAGCGTTTCTTAAAATAAAATCTTTTCATTGTATATTATTTTGAGAATCATATTTGTCCTCATAATCGAAATGATAAATAACGAACACAGATTTGGGGTGACATTATTTGAAATATCATTTAAAAATAAAACTTAATAAAAATAAGACTATAATGTGATACAACAAAAAGACCATAAATGCTTTCTTCAGAAGTTATGACAATGATAAAAAATGTGAGAGCTATAATGACGCTAACGTACAAGAAACGAGTTAATTACAAAGATTAACATCGCCTGCGATGAGATTAGACAAAATCGCAACCAACCAATCGAAATCAACAATAAATTCAATGACTCTTCGATATCAAGTTTCTGTCATCAAAGGCGCGGGTGTCACGTCAAAATGGAGACGTAGATACATTCAGCAGCCTTTAAATCGTATCCCATATTTTTATCATAAAATCGTAACAAAGCATTTACGAACTTTTTGTTATGTATCAATTTAGTCTTACTTGTTGAACAAACTGCCGAAATATCTACGGAATGATACGAAGCATTCGTTTTACTTCCTTCACTTTTGCACGCAGTGATTCGCAGTGACACCCGATAAAAAAAATGTTTCCGAGAAAATTTGATCGGTTCCCTGATGACAACTGTAATCGCGTTGTCGCAACACGTTTTCGGTAGTCGCGCCAGAAGAATCGATTCGCGTGGGGCAGATATCAATCGAAAGAAATACCGTATCAACCAGATAAGGTTGAGGACGTTGCGGAAGGAGTAACGGAGCATTCAGCAGGAGGCATCGAGGAAAGGAAGAACGAGAGAGGGGGCGAACCGTGTGGTTCCCGTATTCCACGGGCATCAGCCGAAGACAGAGGCAGCACTCGCGTGCCCTGCTCCTCAGTTGCCGATCCTTTTTGCATCGTCTCGGCTGTACAGTACCGGTTAGACAGTCCCGCAGTCGCGAAGTGCTGTGAACTCACCTGGCCGAGAGAACTTGTAAACTGCTCGTTTTTCTACGATCGAGACGCAACTGGTTTCGAGTTCCCTCGCCTCCCGATGCCTCCTGCGATCGTGTTCACGTGAGTCTTCTTCTTCGTACGCAGCGGGGATCCTCGTCTTTCATCTAATTAAGGGGCTGCCGATGAACTTGGTAAGCGATATCCTCGAGACGCATTCGCGTCGATTACTTGTCGCATATTTTTCTGTTTACGCTGTTTAACAACAATCAGGCGGTTAAAGCACGATTTATAGAATTCGTTGATCATGTGTTCTTGCTGATTCGTGGATCATTGTTATTTTATTCCGTTAGCTTTGTTTTTCATAGTACATATTATGAACATTTTGAATACGAATGTTCCTTGAAATTTTAAATTGTTAAGATATAAATGTGTCCAATTTTAATCTAAGATATAATGACACGGGGTTCGTTTCAATGAAAACGATGTTATCAATTTCTACGATAATTAAAACATATTTCAGACCATGCAGATCAGTATTATAAAATTACGAATACATATAGATCCTCGTATTTAAATCACACGTGTATACGAAAGTTTCTCAGGAGCAATGCTACCATAATATTGGAAGTTTCGGGACGTGACACTCGCATTTGTTTGGCACACCAGCTTTGCCGAGCTCTTTTGGTCCGAGCGAATTTAATCCACATTCGATGTACAGTAATTCATTTAAATTTAGATAAGTTATCGAAATCTAGATAATTTATTAAATTCCATTGTGCATACCACTCTACAATCCAGAGAAATATATTCTTCCTTTTTGATTTGAGTTTCGATCCGTCAGAGAATTTATCACTGGAATCGTAACCGAAGCAGAGCACAGCTGTTAAATGTAATCTATTTTGAATCAATTGATGAACTAATGCTTCATAAATAATTGGGGTTCTGTACAGTAGAACGCAGAATTAAAAAACGGTTCGGAGCAAAGTCAATGCACTGTATTATTTAATGCACATTTCGAATCGCCCCGTCAGAACGCGAACTATTTTCTGGAGAACGTTCCTGTGCCATAAGTGCCGGCGGATACATAAAAACAAACAATCAAGACGTTCAAGCAATTACCGGAATGGTATTGCAGAGAGGAGCGCACGTGATCCGCTTAAAATAATTCGAATTCTGTTATCGTGCATGTGCGCAGCGTTCTCGGCGATGCATTATGCACAAGGTTTGATCCATCGTGCAGTTTTGATGCCTGCGTTAAAACCTGGAACGGAACAATTAAGTCGCGTTACGATACTGCATGCGAATCGGGTTTGACGGCTCATTTATTCTATTCGTTTGTAATCCGCTGGAAGAGTTCGAACACCGACGCTGACGTAGAATTTTATTGTAAACGATATTTAAACTGCGACGAACAACATTTATATTGCGACCCGGTCATAATTGCTCGATAAACATTTCAATCCAACTTGACGTTGCGTTAATTCGAGGCGTGGCGCGAACCCGAAGAGTTCGTGCAATTGTATTATTGCAAGAGAGGACGTCAAAAAGCGTCTTTCGTGTCATTAACGAGTATGTAAGAGACATAAATTAATTCATGAAATTGTTTACTTATAGACTGGGGATCTTCGTGCTAAATGGAAATTGTTTTAGTCGGTTGTAAGAACCAGGAGTTAAAGAAAAATGTATTTCTTCTTTGAATAATAAATTTATGCAATTTATAACGGCGGTGAAGGAATCAATAATTACGTTTAATCAACGATACATTGACAAGAAGTTAACAAACTATGTATCACAATATTCAATACATGCATACATTGGTTAAATGTTTACATACTTCTGCTGTGAAAAATATATAATGAAGCTACGAGTATTTACACAATTTGTAGTGGTGTCTTTTAACAATAATAAGCAGATAATGTTTTATGATCTCTTTGTGGCAAATTCCTATTTACCTTTGTCCCTTGTTGGGGGTCAACATAATGAGACATTATAACATCGATAAACTGTTTGTTCTTATGATTGATGTTCTTTGTGTTTCGTTTAGAACGTGTCAAACGCAAATGATCAGCTTCATGGAAGCTACTGTCGCGACTGTCTCAATTAATAAATACAGCTTGTATGAACAGATAAGATGAATGTCAGTAATCTTTAAAAATCAGTCTGCAGTTATCCTGTATTTTTATGATCAAGATTTGGAAACTTTGAAGAGATTTCTTCGAAAAGAATGAGATTCATTGTGAAAGACTCTGATCGCGTGAAGAAATACTGAAGGCACGGCTGTGATTATGTGCAATTAAATTGATGATAATAAAGAATTATTTCTTATCGTATTTTAATTACTTCAAGGTCACAATCAAATTACAGACAGTTTTATATTTCTAACGTTTCCTGATACACGTAGAATGCTATAAAATAAAGACGTACAAATAGATTCACAAGTACAATAAAATTTATGATTCTGCAAACGAAGAAATAGCATTTTTTCGTTTGAAATTGATGATATCGTTAATTAACGATAATAAATGAGTAATTCATTTTATTCGAAGACATTCGTAGCCTAGCTATGAATTAAAAGGAAACGAGTATATTATTCCACTTCGAATAAAATGAATTACTCATTTATTAGACTTAATAGGTGCGTCATGCCTTTTGGTGATATACCTCAAGTACGTTACAAGAATACTATCAGAAATGTGTATGTATACATATTAGAGCGAAACGTACTAGGAAGTGCGTCATTTCTCTATCTACCTTCGTATTTCCTTCTGCTATACCGGGTGTTCCACCAATTATTAGTATGACGTTGATAGACGTAAAAGCAACCGTGGTTATTTATTGTTCAAACATAATTTAGCGTAAGACTTAATTCAAGCAGCTTATTGTCGGATTGAATCCAAATATCATTAATTTCACACAAATTCGATGAATAATTAAAGTTCAGTTCCACGATAGCAAAATCCTGTTAAATAAATATATGCTATAAATAAAAATACCCTATTTAATGTACGTATAATAATAGAACAGTTATGTAAACACGGTGGTAGATTAAATCTTCACTGATTTTCACAATATAAACAGATAATCAAGGTTCTATACTGTATTACTCTTTTATATTCTATACAAATTAGAGCGAATCGTATCTTTACTCGGTTGAGTTCATTGATTTTATGCAATATGCGGTAAAAGCTCTTCCCGTATCTATATTACAAAGGAATTTCCAAACAATAAAGCTGTTAATTGTATGCCATTAAGCTGTGTACGAGAGAAATTAACGGTTCCTTCATACATCCAGAACCTCGTATTTTGTTAGCCATTAAATTACAGAAGCATTCTAATATAAGGCGATGCAGCACTGCATTTCTTGTGCACATTAAACCGCCGAAGTTCTTCTGCGAAACACGCTCCGTCCCGTGAGCTGTTTCCTTTCATGGAAAATTTATGAACACGACATCTTTGTCATTATTATCGTCTTTATCGGAATGAAGTCACACCATCATTACGATCAGAATTCGTTTAGTCGAACAAAGGATAGCATGCATTGTATGTAAACGCCGCGTATTTGCGAAGAGAACACCGTTATTGCTAGAGGACACACAGTTTGAACAACAGAACGTCTGGATGTTAATGTTCAGAGAACTTTAATGAGTGTTTAAATATGAAAGATTTTATCGTGTATTGTCTAACGTGCGGAATTATACGAGAGCAAATAATTAAACGGATTATACATTTTCATGGTCATCCGTTGCGAAATTTAGGCGAATTTATATTGCCAAGGTGTTCTGTTTCGTTTTAGGATTTGTATTTTGTATGAATTTTATAAGCTTCAGATGCACAAATCTCTGCAATGTAATTACTTCATGGTTCCATGCATAGCATTTCTCGTAACTTTGGATTATATTATGGATTATATTATGATTATTAACAACTTCATATGTTCTCAATATTACGAGTTCTTGATTATACACTTTTAAATATTTATGTTTCCTTGAAAAAATCAGGCGTATCTCTTCGCGAGCTGACGTCGGCTTAAGAACGTTAGATAAATTATTTTTAATTTTGTGTTTCGTTCTTCCTCGGTTATGTTCTGTGATAATAGAATGTATGGGATAGTGTTGCATTACTAATGTTATACATAGCGGGACAACCATTTTCCAGTGTACGTAACTATGCCAATTTACTGTATCCTGATCTTATCCTAGTTATTGTGGTTTGTTTCTGACGATTAAAATGATACTCGAAGTCGAACTCCTAAAAATTAGATATTTCATCATGGGTTGTTTTATAGATCGATCGTGTTATTTTGCTTGTAATTAATGGTTTCTCTAAAAATTATTATCATTGTATAATAACGAGAGAGATTCGATTTAATGGAGCACACATATTTACTTTGTATTCGATTTTGCATGAAGACATATTTACATTGCAATTTGCTTTCCTCTGAAATTTCACTCTGAAATTTGAATTAATTTAAATCGCGGCATATTCTCAATACAGGTGATAAGTAATTAAATAATATTATACTTTTTAAGCACAAGTATTTAAAATTGCTGTATTAAAAAAGATACACTAAAACAGAATATTTTTGTTAAGGATATAATTATAAATTCTATAATTATAAATATAATAAATAATAATAAATAATAATAATAACAATAATATAATAATAATTATAAATTTCACTTCTACGTTGAAGAATTCAACTTTATCGTAATGATATTATGTTCAGATCCGAACATTGCACACACCTTGCAGTTAGTAACAAAAAGGCTTAAAAAATATTTACTACGTTTTGCAATTCGTATCTGCATCATCGTGTCACCCTTCAGACATTATCAAACGACTACAGATAAACACATTTTATTCATCACAGCCATAAAGGAAACGATGCGCTAGAAAACTGCATTCTTCGTTCATTCCACGATGAAACAATGAAGCAATGAAAACTGTAATACTCGCGATGCAATAAGTTGAACTATTGTACGTATAACTATTGTACTATTGTAGAGATAGAAACACAAACGGTGTAAATCAACGATGATTTCAACATCGGTTCCCGAAGCGGTTTATCAGAATCGTATGATTAGGAGATACAGAGATAATCAAGAGATATCAAGGTACACTATGTTATCATACAATGACATTTAAGAGCAAACTTGTCGCGCATTCGCATGCAGTCGTGTAGCAGTGTACC